ATACGATGCTGGTTAGCATTGTATCGTTAGCAGAACTAATGTTTCTGATTGGTGCTTTAGGGTTAGCACACCTAGCTTTTCAGTTAGCAGTGCCCGAACCGTTTCTACATAGCATACACAGCAGCAGACCGACCCATGCATGAACTCAAACGGAGCCGGTGGCTCTCACCACTGGGCTGGTCCGGGCCGAACTGGCCCTGCTGGAGGCTCTGGAGCTGCGGTAGCTACTGTACTCCACAGGCTGCAGGAAGAACACACCACATACGCTTCTGTCAGTCTGCCTGCATTACCCTCCCAGATGTTAGACCGGACCCGTTTGGACCCGCTCCGCTGGCTTACGTGAGAGGTGGAGACTCTGCGGGAGCCGCTGCACAGACTCAGACCGTCGTCATACAGAGAGCTCTGCAGGGGACGGATCAGGAGCTCAGCCGGGCAGAACCGCACACACATGATATCAGTGCTGAGTGTTAGATAGGTCACCAAACGCTGGCTGGCTAATGGCTAACAGAGCTAGAACCAACCTAAAACTGCAGAGACGGGTCCAATCAGAACTTCAGTCTGTCTGAGTGTTAGCTTACTGAGCCGGTAGCTACCGTTAGCTTAGTAGCTACCGTTAGCTTACTGAGCCGGTAGCTACCGTTAGCTTACTGACCCTGTAGCTACCGTTAGCTTACTGACCCTGTAGCTACCGTTAGCTTACTGACCCTGTAGCTACCGTTAGCTTACTGACCTGGTAGCCATTGAAAGACAAGCCGGGGTTTCTGGACGGACCGCTGAGATCAAACAGGTCGGAGGAAGTGAAGGAAGACTGGAGAGAGGAAGTGAAGCAACCAGAGATCCATCAGGAATAACGCAGCATTTCAGCACTCAAACTACAGCAGAAGGTATCAGAACCAGAACCCATGCAAGAGTCCATACAATATGTCCTCTGCTGTCTCTCAGCATGCAGCATGCTGGTTAGACTGATTTCAGGTGAAATGCTCTGAGCTGCAGTTATCAGCTTCACACGGTGCCATTAGAGGAGAAAACACGACACCAGAACAGAACCACGCACCGGCTGCAGGTCCAGTCTGGACGATTGGAACATCCTGTTGTCATCGCTCAGCCTGGAGCTCTGAGGCCAAACAGGGAAACACAGAAGGCTCTGAGAAAACAGTGGTGCTGCGGGCTCCCCAACCACCCAGAAAAGGCGGGAATGGAGAACGAGGACCTGAACAACTTCAGCATCACTTAACAGTTAGACCCGTTTTAACCGGGAGTGTAAATATGATTATTATTCATGGCAGCAGCAGGAGGACAGAGCGCCGACAGCGACAGATCAGAGCAGAAAGGAAGGAAAAGAGTCGATAAAATCCTGTTTGTTTGTTTTTTTGTTTTAAGATTTTTTTGGCTCTAGTGGCCTTTATTTGACAGTTAATTGACAGGAAAGCGGGTAATGAGAGAAGGGGGAAGACATGCAGCAAAGGTCACTAAGGCCAGGAATCGAACCTGCGACGGCTGCGTCAAGGACTAAGGCCTCCATATGTGGGTTGTGCTGAACCCCTGATTTGTTTTGTTTAAATGTTTCTGAAAAGTTAAAATGATTCATGGAAGCAGCTCAGCTTTCTATCTGGTTGTTATCTCCTGCCTTTTCTCCACTTTCATTAATTTCTGCACCAATAAGGTGCAGTATGTCAAACTGTATGCTGATGATTCTGTGGTTCATCTCTGGCATCGGCTCTGTGGCTTTAGGGTTTTATCAGATTCTGGAAACAATCACTAATAAATCAGTTCCTCCAGTTTGTAGCGATTCACAAAAAAAATCAACAGATCTCTGCATTTTTTCATGCTAATGCATCACTGTGAGTTTATCTCAGATGTTCTTAAAAATGGTGGAAAACATTGAGTCTATGGGATGCCAACTCCCACCTGCAGGTGGCAGTGTTTCTATTCCACCGCAGCCTCGGCTGTTTTAGTCTGTGATCGATGTGGAGAAAAACAAAAACTGAGCTATTTTTAAGTTTTTAAAGAATGAAAATGTTTGCGTACCCAATGTGTCTGTTATTTGTTCTCGTGATTTTTCTTCTACATGTAGATTTTATAAAAAGTTTAATGACTAAAAATGTCAGAATTTCTTGCATATGCATCACCACAAAAACAGATCTGGGTTTCTCTACATGCGGTTAGCGTTAGCGTGTTTTACGTCGCGTTTTTTCCTGTCATGCGTTAGTTTGTCAAGCAGCCACTGACCCTGCTGGACAGCGCGCTGTAATCGTCATGGCAACCGTTTCTCTGTGAACGACAAACACCTGATGAGACGAGCAGATCGCTCTGCATCTCACTCTGACGTTTCCTCACTCACGTCTCTGTGCTTATGCTTCTTCTTTTTCTTTGACTTCCTGTGCAAAGAGGAACCCTGAGAGAAGAAGAAAACAGTGAAGAAGAAGAAGAATCACACCCATGATGCAGGAAGCAGCAGGAAGCGAGGACAGAGCCCCTCCCCGGCTTGTTTCTGGGTTCAGAGTCGTCAGTGTTTCTCTAACAGAACCGTCTGACTGAACCAAACCCAAAGGGATCCGTTGCGTTACAGAACATTATTCAACAGCAGAACCAGAAACAGGAAAACATTCATTCATTCATTCATTCATCATCCACAGAGTGAAATCATGCAGAGGGAAACTTGTACGACACAAAGCAGTTTCCTCCATGATGCTGCGCTGCCAGCTGATGGGTCGTCTGACGCTCCTGTTACCGCCTGATTAACCTGATGGTGCCACTTCTGCCCCCTGGTGGCCGCTTTGCTCCTGCCAGTGGTGAATGCATGAGGCTGTTTCTCCAGAGGCTGAACTGGTTTTACTCTCTGCTGCAGGAACGCTGATCATATTACGGTTTCATAAATATAATGTGACTTTAATCAAGTCAATATTTGGTTTTTACATCAAATAAAGCCATAAATGAAGAGAAAATGGGTGAAACATAAAGAATATATTGTTATAGAAGCAGATTAGCCTCATAGTCATAAATATGAGAATAAAGTAATATGCTAATAAAGTTGAAATATTACAAAAATAAAAGTTGAATAAATGTTTTTTAATATATTTTAACAAATCCAAATCGATCCACATTTTTAATAGTTTTTAATAGATGCAGCGCCCCCTGCTGTCCCCTGTAGACACGCCCAGCCAGACTGGAAAACTCTGATGACATCATGTGATACTTGACATGCTCTGCCCCGTCCCTCACCTTGTGCCTGTTCTCTGTCTCACTCAGTGCAGAATCTCAGAAAAACAAGACACATTTAAATCATGTTTTCTTTGTGCAGATATTTTTCTGCAGCTGCATACAAAGCAAACGGGAGATTCTGACGCTTTTTCTGATGAAAACATGAGAAATGGACCGGTCAGAACCAGAATGAAAACATGAGAAATGGACCGGTCAGAACCAGAATGGAACTGACCAATGTTCCTGAGTTTCCATGTTAGAAACAACCAGACAGAATCAACAACTCAGTCTGACTGACAGACCGAGACACCCACAATCAGAGCAACTGGGTCAAATCGGGTCAAACATGCTGGGTCAACCACAAACAATTAGAGAAGGTCAAAGTTCAACGGGGTCTCACCCCTCCACCATACGCCCCCACAGAGTCCAGATCCGACTGGAGAAGACAGAAACAAGTTGATGAAGAACGAGATGATCAGTCAGAAGGTCCGTTTGGTTCTGGTTCTGGGAACCAGAACCAGCTGAGAAGTCAGAGAGAGAGAGAGTGGTACTGACCCGGACGCTGCCGCGGCTTCCCACCGACATCCGCTCATCATCATCAGACAGCTGTGGAGAGCAAAACGACACGATCAGAAATGGGTCGGGCAGATCCACGGGCCGGTTCTGAGAAACCCTCTGGACCCGACCCGGAACAACAACACACAGCAGGAAGAACTGGGTTCAGTTTGAAACGGTTCAGGAAACAGAGGAAGAGGAAACAAACCGTGTGGAGCCGTGAAGAACGAGAAAACCTCTCACTGTCCTCCTGCAGGAGGAAGAGGAGCGAGGAAGAGGAGGAGCATGGAGGGCAGAGAGGAAGAGCGAGGAAGAGGAGGATCAGTGAAATCTGAAACATGAAGCTATTGAAACTTTCTGCCTCTAAGTTTCCTTCTTCAGGCTGAGTGATTGATTATCCACCAGCACTGCAGTGTTAATATTAATACGGTTCGTTAATATCTGGTTCAGCCCAAACGAAGCAACACGCTCCAGACGCCACGCTGCTCTGACATCATCACTGCTCGCCGCTCTGCTGCGTCTCTGGAGGCTAAAGGAGGCTCCTGCTGCTTCACTCTGAGCCTCGCTCGGCTCCTGCTGGACGTTTCCTCTCCTTAAAGAGGAACTGATTTGGTAAGCATGGGACAACATGGCTACAAAGCTAGCTGCGCTAACACTAAAGCACTAACTGCAAACATTAGCTCTGCTAACACTGAAATGCTATACCAACACGGTTTTTAGCCAAAAGCTAATGCTACGGCACTAAATTCAATCACGAGTCAATGACTCAGCGTATCGCCCTCTACAGGCTCATCTTGTCATTACACAGCTTCCTGTATGGTTTGTGTTTCAGGAAGTGATTCTGTGGAACAAACTTCACTCCTGGTTTCAGTTTAGTTTATAGTTGTTTTGCTAACTCTGTTGCTGGTTTTACCTAAATTTTGCCTTGTAGCTCTAAAGCAATGCATTCTGGGTACAGAATATCTGATGCACCACATGAGATAACATGAGGACAGGAAACATTACTGCTGTGCAAACAAACTTCAAAATAAGAGCATGAATATAAACTTCAAAATAAGAGCATGAATGGAAATTTTCTACTTGGAAAATTCTGAACTGTAAATAACCAAAAACTGAAACTCAGATGTTGAGCTACAAAACAGTCAAACAAATTAGTGCTTCAGAATTGATCTGGGGAAGCTAAGTGCACTAAATGTTTTCAAAATTAGCAATAATGCTAAAGCGCTCAGCTAAAAATTAGCTCTTTTACTAGCAGTTAGTGAAACTGTGCTGCATGGTGTCTAAAATACCTTTAGACACTGTGGAAAAGCAAATCAGTCCAGCGTCTGTACTTCCTGTTAAAGTTGAGTTTTCCTCTCCACTGTCACCACATGCATGATCGGTGAATGTTTGAAGTCAGGGACTCCATGCATATTATTTTCAACCAATCAGAATAAAGAGCTGATCTGGACGTGTTGCTGATAATCTGCAGGATGAAAATCTGCTAATCTGACCAATAAAAGCATCCATCTGTCCAGCAGCAGCATTAGCGTTAGCGTTAGCTAAAGTGATCACTCTGCAGCAGATGGTCATGGTGGCTCTAATCCAGCCAGACCTCCCACTCCTTCAAATAACTGGATTACCATCCACACTCTGACTTTGATTCAATATAATCCATATTTTCCATTTTAAGGATTAACGGGGATTATCAGGAACTCGGCACACACACACAGTTAGCAGGGTGCACAAACTTTTAGTGTTTTTAGTCAAAATCTACCATCCACTGCTCAATGTCTCCCCATTTACTGTCGGCCCGCTCCTCTCGGGGATTCAGACCGTAATACTTCTGAAAGACGGGAAACGAGGGCAAAGGTTAACGAGCGGCCAGGTTTCCATGGCAACACACACAGATATCTGGAGGGTCCTACCTTCTGCACCTGGAAGATCTGCAGCAGCAACAGAGGCCAGGAAAGAGGGAACAGGAAGAAGGGAAAAGGGAACAGGAAGGAGGGAACAGGGAACAGGAAGGAGGGAACAGGAATAGGGAGGAGGGAACAGAAACAGGGAGGAGGGAACAGGAACGGAGGAGGGAACAGAAACAGGGAGGAGGGAACAGGAACGGAGGAGCCAACAGGAAGAAGGGAACAGGATCAGGGAGGAGGGAAAAGGGAACAGGAAGGAGGGAAAAGAGAACAGGAAGGAGGGAACAGGAATAGGGAGGAGGGAACAGAAAGGAGGGAAAAGGGAACAGGAAGGAGGGAACAGGGAACAGGAAGGAGGGAACAGGGAGAAGCAATGAGAACATGGAGGATGTATCAGGGTCTCTGTAGAAACATTCTAGATTCGCTTCTGAATTTTTCAGGTATGTGAAGAAACAACGAGGAGCAACCCAAGAGACTCGGTTGGGTTCTGTTGGGTTCAAACCTCCACAGAACCAGCACCTGGTGAGTTTCCATCCTGTAACCTGCTGCATCAGTGATACGGTTTCTGCTCAGCTTGGTCTGGACTTTGACTAGGACATTTTCAGCTGATCTGCTGCGTCTGGTTTCCTCCATCTTGGTCCAATATCTCTGGACTCGTCTCAGGGGTGTCCAAAGAGCGGCCCAAGGGCCGTTTGTGGCCCCGAGACAATGTTGTTCCCCGAACTGGACAAAGTAGTTCATTAAACTTTGTTCCTAATCAGGGTCAAATTATTGTTTTCTTTCATTTACAGCAGCAGGTTTGGTTTAAAACAGAAAACATGCCGAATTATTTCTACGTTTTGGATCTACGATGAAAAACCTCCAACAAAACTGAAAAATGGAGATTTAATTTCATTGATTATTTTCTTGACCCTTCAGAAGTTTTGAATCAGTGTTTTCGACCCGTACAGTTTGGACGCCCCGATCCAGAAGCAGCTCTGCTAACCTCAGTGCGGCGGCCATCTTGTTTCTAGAGAGAAGAAACTTCCTCCTTCAACTCAGCCTCACTGGTTCAGGGTCATGACCTTTGACCTGCTAACTCAAGCCTGTGGAGTTGCACTGGTCAGACAGATGACCTTTAACCCCAAATTGATATTTATGAAGGACTGATATGATTAACAGATTATTAAAATAATTCTCATCTGATTTAGTGAACAGGAGTACAAACAGCAGATAATCAATAATCAGCTCCACTCTGTTTCAATGTTCCTGTTACAACATGTTTGTTTTCTTCTTCAGTAAAACAAATGAATTAGTTTATTTATTTATCTTTTAATGTATTTGTAATATAGAAAAGAGGCTGAAATGAAAAACCTGCAGATTGATTATTTCTATCTGACTGATCGATCAATCGATCAGTAAATTAATCGTTAGCTGAAGCTAAACAGAGACGTCGTTCTGAATCGCTGTAGGAAAATGAAAACATCAACCAAAGTTTCCTTCAGTTGTTTCTTGAAGTCAGACCTCCAGAACCGGCGCTGACCCGACCCAGCAGGTTCTGACCCGCCGCAGCTTTTCCATCACAGCATCCAGGACTTTAATCCAGATTTAGAGCCGGCCTGCTGCAGGACCCGACTGGACCAGTAAACCAGAAAACAGCCTGTGGTCTGTCTGAACCGATCCAGTTACAGGACCGGACCTGGTCCTGTAACTGGACCGGACCCGGTCTGCTGATGAAACTCGAGCCATTCCCACACTTTCCAGCAGATTAACCTAAACCAAAGCGACCCGGTTCAGCAGAACCAGAACCAGCCGTGAGGTTCTACCGGTCCTACTCCGCTCCACTCACCGCAGTTCCCTTCCTGAGCAGAGGGACCCGGGGCCGCGCGCCGAGGGCCGCCCGCAGCCCCCGCCCCGTCAGCCGCCGCCCGGCCGTCCTGCAGGGGTCAGAGGTCAGCGCCCCGGCCGGTCTGGGCTCGCCGCTACGCCTCGACGGCCAGAGGCTGCTGGGAGATCTGGAGCCATCGCCACGGCAACAACAATCAGGGCTAAAGCGCCGCCGCTAATCTGCTTTAAAACTCGGCTAAAAGGTTTACGGGTCACACGCGGCCCGGCCCGGCCCGGCCCGGCTTAACCGACAGAACTAATCGGACCTGAAGTGTTTATGGAGCAGAACAGATTCACCGCTTCGACCGGAGAGAACGCTGTGACCAATAAACTGATCATTAATCCATTATTCTGATCATTAAAAGGATTTAAAAAGTTGCCACATTCTGCAAATTTTTCATTGAATCAATAAATGAAATTTATTCTGTATAATATAAAAACACTAAAAGGTGGAAATAAATAAATTCTTGTTTCAAATGACAAAAACATTTTGTTGGCTGAAAGTCAACAGTTGCTTCAATGAAAACTATTGATCAACTGATTAACAACTGGATGAAAATGTGATTAATAGAGGATTAATTTCCCTGAATGTGAACCGGATGAAACTGAAACCAGAGGAATTACAGATTAAGGTTTTAATCTGAATGTTTGTCATTCTGTGTTTTTCTGTAATCGATTAATCTGATTAATCAATCGTCCCTAATCAGATTATAGCAGGTATTTATGAAGTCTGAGTTTCCCTTCAGCAGTCGATGTTTTTTAATTTCTGATGTTTTGTCTCGTTTTTCACTGAGCAGCAGCAGAGACCTTCATCCTGCTGCTCCTCTTCCTCAGAGCTGGTTGTAATCGCAAACACAAACCAGACGGCGACCTGGGCACGCCGCCGGACGGAGGGACACAGAGGGAGAGAGAGATGGAGAGAGAGAGAGATGGAGAGAGAGAGAGAAAGAGAGAGAGATGGAGAGAGAAAGATGGAGAGAGAGAGATGGAGAGAAAGAGAAAGAGAGAGAGAGAGAAAGAGATGGAGAGAGAGAGAGAGAGAGGGAGAGAGAGACAGGGAGACAGATAGAGAGAGAGATGGAGAGAGAGAGAGAGATGGAGAGACAGGGAGACAGAGAGAGAGAGAGATAGAGAGAGAGAGAGAGAGATGGAGAGACGGGGAGACAGATAGAGAGAGAGATGTTAGTGGATCTAAAACTTTTAGGAAAAAGCAGAAACCACCTCAACATAGAAACTTTTTGCTTAGTTTAATTGTGGAAGTTATTTTTAATTTTGCTGTTTTCATCAAGTTTTGTAATGTCATATTTGAGAAGCAGCCCAGAGGAGCACGGTCTCTCTGGAGGAGCAGTAGAGCTGCTCAGCTCAGGTGGGACAATCCGTCTGCACCTGCAGCCTGGCAGCCAGGTTGTTATAAATATAACAAGTTAGTTTATCGGAAGCCATGTTGGGGAGAGAGCAAGCATGTGGAAGTAGAGAATAACGTCCCTGTGGTGAAACATGGCGGTGGCAGCATCATGCTGTGGGAAGATGGATGGAGATAAACTAAGAGAATCCTGGAGGAAAACCTGCAGCAGAGCTGAGAGCAGGTGGAGGTTCAACCACCCTGAACATCCAGCCAGAGATACTGTGGGATGGATTATAAGGGCTAAAATGGCCTAGTCAAAGTCCAGTCTGAATTTCACTGAGAATCTGTAGGAAGACTTGAAAACTTCTGTCTTCAGATGTTTTCAATCCAGCCTGACTGAGTTAAATATAAATACATGCCACACTTTTCAAATTGCTGCTACTTTTTTTTCTGTCACATTAAATCCTGAACCAATCAGAATCCTGGAATCCTGCTGCTTTAATCAGACAGAGCAGCATTTTAACAACATGATGATTTTATTGAGCAGCTCCTTTAACACACAGGAAGCAGTTCCTTTAACACACAGGAAGCAGTTCCTTTAACAGACAGGAAGCAGTTCCTTTAACAGACAGGAAGCAGTTCCTTTAACACACAGGAAGCAGTTCCTTTAACACACAGGAAGTTGTGGGATCTGTTGTGTCTCGGGTCATAATTAATTTTTGGTTCTGATCGACCCGGTTACCTCTTTCTGCTGCCGCTCCAGCTCCTTCATCCGGATCTCCCGTGCTTCGGCCCGGGCCGCTCGCTTTGCCGCCAGCCTGGCCTCTGCCTGCAGAGAGAGAGAGACTGGTGAGAACAGGGGGGTGACTGGGGGTATCTGGGGGTAACTGAGAGCAACTGAGAACGATTGGGACCAATTTTGATTGGCTGGGCCAGGGGTCAAAGGTCAGTGCTCTGCTTCATGTTTTAAACTTGTTTCTGTTTTTCTCCTCTGTGCAGAACTCAGAACCCAGAGAGACTTTTTCCCTTAAAAGGACGTCTCAGAGAGAGAGAGAGAGAGTGTGTGTGAGTGAGTGTTTCTGTGTGTGTGTGAGCATTTCCTTCCTCTCTCTCTGCGGTCGGTGGTTTCAGCCGCTGGGCTCAAGGCGGTGGCTCTAATGCCTCCACTAATGCCCCGCCCTTCTGCCCCCGCCGGCCAGTGAGACGTTTCTCACTCAGAATCGACTGAAAGCAGAACAGAGATAAAAACCCGGCTTCGTCTGGTTCAGTCATCCTAACTTTGGTGTTTCTGTGTTTAAACTTTTACATTCATTAACAGAAATTTCTCCTGGTTCAGTTCTTCTGTAACCTACAGGCGGCCGCAGGTACTGAGCCTGGTTCTGGTTCTGGTTCTGCTGGAGGTTTCTTCCTGTTACCAGGGTGATTTCCTCTCCCCTGCTGCCCCCTGCTGGTCAGGAGGAGTGATGCTCTGCTGGTTTTCCTCAAAACAAACATTTTATGCTAATTTGAATAATGAACTTGATGCTCTGATTGATAATTAGGATAAATTAGAAGAAATGATTGAAGTTAAATCATTTTTTAATAAAATGCATCAAGACAACATGTGACCTGGTGGCGCTATTGAAATAAACTGATTTGAATTTAATTAGTAGTGTTTAGTTCTAGCTAGTGGAGTTAGGTCATGCTGGTGGAGTTAGCTCATGCTACTGGAGTTAGCTCATGCTACTGGAGTTAGCTCATGCTACTGGAGTTAGCTCATGCTAATGGGCTTCGGTCATGCTAATGGAGTTAGCTCCTGCTAGTGGAGTTAGCTCCTGCTAGTGGAGTTAGCTCCTGCTAGTGGAGTTAGCTCCTGCTAGTGGAGTTAGCTCCTGCTAGTGGATTAGCTCATGCTAATGGGCTTAGCTTCTGCTAGTGGAGCTAGTTCCTGCTAACACAGTAAACAGTAGTCCACTAGCCGATCATGTTAGCTTGTTTCAAAAGTTGTTAGTGGCCCTTGAACACTTTGAGCAGTTTGTCTCCTTCCAGATGTTTTGTTTCCCTTGTTAGCCTCTAAACCTTCGAGCATTTAGCTAACTGCCTCCAGTCAACTGTAACCTGGCCACAAAATTGGCCCAGAATGCATTGCATGCAGGTGATAAAATGGTGACCTCTGTATGTGAAAAATATAATACAGACAGTTTTTGTTGTAATTATTTGTTTTTACATCTCACAAACAACAACCTTTAGATTAATTAGAAAACTAAAACATATTTAGTCCAAAATGTTAACCAGTCATGAATCATTTAAGTTTCAACTTCTGAAGAACCACAGAAGAAGAACATCAGGTGGAGTCGTGCCATGATCTCACAGCAGCACCAGTCACTTTAACCTGAGTTCACAGCTAAATTATGTCTAAACATGTTAATATATGGCAGGACAGTGGCGCAGTTGGTAGTTCTCCCTGTGCAAGGCGCATCTCTAAATTGTCCCTCGGTGTGTGTGTGTGTGCGTGGTTGTGTGTCCTGTGTGTCTCTGTGTTGCCCTGTGACAGACTGGTGACCTGTCCAGGTGACCTGTCCAGGTGACCCCGCCTCTCACCCGAAACGTTAGCTGGAGAGGCAGCAGCAGCTTCTGACCCACCGAGGGTGTTAGAAAATGGATGGATGGACAGTTTTCTGTTTATTAAAACGTCTCATTCTGCAGAATGAAGCAGCAGTGAAGAGCCGCCCCCGTCGCCGCCAGGCGGCCGGTAATTAGCGCTGCCTTTAGTAGCGTCCATGTTGAAGAGCTTTCACTGCAGCCTGATAAAGGCCGACCTCCTTCCAGTCACACGCTGGACTAAAAATAGAAACCTGAGGCCGACTGCAGCTGCTGGAATGGGGAGTAAACGCTCGGCAAATATTTTCTTAAGTGGCAGCAGGAACAATGCAGTAAACATGGCATCATCATCATCGGCTTTAACTCTTTTATATAAACTCCCAACATGAAGGTGATGCAAACTGAAACCTGCAGCAACATGTAGAAACTCTGATGATATTTAGGTCTGGCTCATCGTGCTTCAGCCTGTTTGGAAATCTGAACAGATCCAAACTTCATGAAGGTCATCAGGTCAAAGAGAGAGAATTAAAGCTGCAGTGGAAACTTTAACAAATCATTTAATGATCTCACACCTGTGGGTCAGGTGGATCAACCTGATCTGATCAGACCTGGAAATGATTCTCATTTAAACTCTAAGCATGAAGCATGTTTCAGTAACCCGTCAGATCCAGCTGCTTAAAAACAGCTACAGGTGTGAGAAAGTAAATACAAAAAGAATAAAACGACCCACTTTCACAGTTCAGGAAGGAAATTTACACATTCGGTTTATTGACTCATCTTTTAGTTCCTCTTATTTAACAAACAATGATAGAAGATATTAGGCAACAGCCTTCATCACAGCAGAAAACCTGCTTGAAATGTTTCAGTCCTGAAGCAGAACGTTTTCCTCTCATTTGAAAATGTATTTAAATTCAGTTTATTTCTAAAGCACCAGTAACATGTCGTCTTGAGGCACTTTACTAAAAAACTCATTTCAGTTCAATCACGTCATTCCAAGTTCGTTTTATTATTCAATTAGTTTAAAAAGTTTTCAAAGGGATCCCAGCTGAGCATGGAGTCGTTCACTTGCAGCATTCACTCCTCCTGACCAGCAGGGGGCGACAGTGGAGAAAAAAACTCATCTTTAACAGGAAGAAACCTCCAGCAGAACCAGAACCGTTCAGTACAGGTTGAAGGTTTGAGAAGATAAAATGTTTTGGTCTAAAAACCAGCAGTGGTTCTGAGGATGTTTTCCAAAAATATCTGCATTTCTGCCGTCACTGTTTAACGTTTATATTATCTTATTACTTTTACAAACAGTTTTACCTGCTGTTGTGATGAAGATTCAATACAAATTCAAAGATTCTTTATTAGTCGTAAATAAACATTAAGCTACACGGCTGATATATTTTAATCTTTTATTTCATTGCTTCCCTTGGAACTTTAAATTTTAGATTAGATTACTGCCATGGATAATATAATATTTCTGGGAGGAAACATATTTCATAAAATATTTAGATAAAATAAAAAAGTTAAATAAACTTCCCCAAACAAACTGACTGAAATAATCTTTTGCTGCTCATTTCAGGTGTAGCCAGGAGACGATCAACGTTTAGGTTAATGAGGTTTATGAGTTTAAATAAAAACAATTTATTATGAATTTATGGTTTAAACGTTGATTTTCTCCCATTTATTGATAGGAGCAGAAACAGAAGCAGCACTTTGTTTTTCTTCTTTGACCCTTTATAGTTCAGTTTATGTTGCACCGATTCACATCTCCTGTCATCATGAGGAGTTTAACAGAAAAATGATCCGGTTCTCATCCCGTCCTTCAGAACCCGGTCCGGTTCCGGCCCAGCAGTTTGGTTAAATCACAGCTGGAAAACGAGATGAGAAACTCTGTCCAACATTTCCTCCAGTCCAACTGAACTACATCAGTGTGTTTACTTTGAGTTTTGACGTTTTTAATCGAATTCCAGAAACGAATTATGATTTCTTGGTGATTTTTGCTCCATTGAGATGTTTCAGTCTCTAAAAGTGGACAAAAAACTTGGAGGTTAGGAACCATGTGAGTTATTGTAGCTTTGTGCAGCTCAGAGCTCCAGCAACATTCCTGCTGTTATATCTGCATGAACTGTTCATGGAGTCGGACTGGAGAATCAGCAGCCAGTAGGAGGCGACGGATGAAATGTGGTCAATTAGATTAATGTGTCGCTGACGGATTCACAGCATCCAGACTGGAAATGGAGACAGGACAGAGAGAGGACATGAGGTCCAACAGGACGGACGGACAAACCAGAACCAGGAAACTTCCGGACCTCAGCATGTGGTCGGACTGGATCGTCCAGCTGTCTCCTCCTGAACCAGGAAGTTGGTTTCACCTGTTTCTGATCAGAAAGATGAAGCTATCTGGGCCGGTTCTGCCGCTATTTATACTGACCTACATCGGACCGAGTTCATCAGAACCGCTCTCATTTAGCAGGACGGCTGCCCTCCAGAGAGGAAACCAGCAGCTCACTGATAAAATCTGTTTTTCTCAGATGGAGAGACGAGTCCGACACACAGGCCGTCCGCTCAGCTTTTATCCTGAAACAACAGAAACGTCAGAGCAGCTTGATCTGGATCTGGACCCAGATGAACGCCACACTGACCGACCAAAACGGACCGGCGCCGACAGCTGACGCAAAGAGAAGCGAGTGATTTCAGAACCAGCTGCTGGTTATCAATACTGACTGGTTATCAATACTGACTGGTTATCAATACTGACTGGTTATCAATACTGACTGGTTCTGATTCCACTGTTGCATCTGTAGATTTAGATTTTATTTTCATATCCTGACAGAAACAAAGCAGCAGGACTAGAAGTGAATCTTCATCACATGATCATGTGAAAAATGTTGAACTTCAACATTTTAAAATGTTTCACTGAAGAACAAGAATTTATCTACAGCAATTCACAAATATTCTTGTGAACCAGCTGACAGGAGGCCAGGCGACTGGTTCTGTTAGAGGTTCTGAGTGAGATTCGGTCCACAGGTCCAACATGATTTGGTTCCAGCTAGAAATGAACGATATTAAATCTGAATTAACGTAGATATCAGATGATGTCACTCATTTTGTAGCATTTCAGAGAGTCTAAAAGAGGAAATCTCCAGTTAGCATCTTCATCAGTGACATTTGCTCTGCTGGAATCTGAGCAACATGACCAGTTCTGGACCGGTTCTGAGACCCGGCCAGCTGAAGCTGTGAGAAACAAACCGGTCCCTCCGCCCTCCTTCAGGACAAAACTCCTCCACGCTCAACAAACAGGAAGTAGTTAGCGATAGCAATCTGCGCGGCCGAGCCCAAGGTGATGTCACCCAGAGGAAACAGTCAGAGGCTGCGCTTCCTTTTAAGGAGCCGAGCCGCAGCCAGAACCCTGAGCGGGTCAGGAAGTAACAGGCGGTTCTGTCAGCCAGGAGTCAAAACGCTTCATGGAGGTTTGATGGGAATCGCTGACGGTTCCAGGAAGAACCGGACCGGTTAAAGATTAGCAGAATGGCTGTTTGTTCAGCCCTGAGCATTAAAGATTAACCAGGCCGGGTCGGACCGGGTCGGACCGGGTTGGACCGGGTCGGGGCTGCAGAACTCATCATCACATTGTCCTTCTTCCAGATGCAGTTTTGCTAGCCGGCTGCCATCTTGGTTTAAGCAGGAAAAGCTGAAGGGGAATTTGAAGGTTCTGCATTTTAACACCAAACTAAATCTGAACCTTCAGCCTCCTGCATCAAACACCCTGCAGTTTTCACACTAAAACTTGGACTAGGACAAATTTAGAACTCAAAAAAGCCGTATGTTGGCTCACAGCTTTATTCATCCCAGTTTACAGAAACAAAGCAGCTGCTGGTCATAAATACATATTAATGTAAACTAGTATAAATACCCAGAAGTCTGCCGCCACATGAAGCAGTAGCCATGGCAACGGCCCCATTTGTAGCAGTATAGTATTTATAATAATAATTGTTATATATATATTTTAATGGTGGACTCTCAGTCAGGATGAAATTACCTCATTATGCATTTCATGCGCTTTGGCGCACAGACCAACGTTACATCAGATTATTTACACTGGAGCGAAGTTTTCACATCCTTTGTTTTTATTCTCTTTATTTTGTGTGTGTTGGGTTATTGTCTGAGGATGAATATGGTTCAGTTTCATTGTTTAAACAAAGTATTGAAGTCGTGAACATCATCGGGTTTGATGATTCTTGGTCTAAATGACTGAATGTCGTCAGGTTTCAGTGGATTTATGAGTTTTGACTCTTTATTGTGAGAAAGTTTTATATTACTGCCGCACATTTTCACGGCAGGTCAAAAGTTTGCATACATTTATGCACATTTCCACGCCACGTTCATTTTCATACATGCTGACTTGTGTGTAAAATACGGCGGTGCACATGAGGCCCGGGAGAAGTTCTGCTCAGTTCTTCATGACCCAAACAGAACCACTGCAGCCAGACGATGCAGCAGGATGTAAAACTGACCTCAGATCTGCACCGACTACAGCAAACAGTCGTTAAGCATGAGATTATTACCGAGTGATGGAAGAAACAAAAAGATATCTAGCAATCTAGACAACTGAAATCCAGATCAGAAAACCTTCAGAACTTTTAAATTTAATAAAACTGTGACGATTGAAACTAAAAGAACTCAGTAACTTTGATCCAGATGCGAGAAAGTGGAATAAAGTCCGGTTTGAATTAGATTATCAAAATTTAGGAACCAGATAAGAGATTATTAGGCCTTTCAACCAAACCCTCTGAGCAACCTGTTCCCCTCCTGGCCTGTGGGGGCGCTGCACCAAGAACCACTGAAGGAAACGACACAAAAACCTCTGAAGACACTGAGAGCAACTTCCTTCTTCACCAGATGGAAACAAGATGGAGGCGTCAGATTTTAGCGGTTGGAGGATTTCTCTTTAGGCTAAAGACCAGGAGCCATTTCTGCTGCTAGCGCTAGGCTAGCACATTAGCTTTGGTTGTAGTTACCCAGAATGCCCTGTGCTGTAGTCCACTTCCTGCTTTTGGAGCGGTCTCTGGTCCGCCTGGCATTCACATTCAAACTGAACCCAGACCGAGGTCTGGAGGACCAGAGGTCAGAGGTCAATTCACACCTCACAACCAAACCGGACTTTGACTAGACAGACAGACCGGAGTCGGGGTAAAGTGGTATAAACATGGCTGGTTTCCCACCTGTTCCCCTCAGGTCTAAATGCGGCGGCGGCAGCAGCTGACCCATTGGGCCCGTCTATTTTTAAAGCTCTTCAGCAGAACGGGCCGAGTCATCAGCGCTGACATTCCGACCCGTCAGAACCTCAGAGGGAACCGGTTCTTCCTTCAGACCGGCCCGGGTTAATCCCACAGGTTCTGTTCGGGCCTCATGCATGAGAGCCATGAAGCTCTCAGCAGGAACCCAACAGAACTCAGCAGAACCCAACAGAACCCAGCAGAACCCAGCAGAGCAAGGGTTCTGGGAACCAGAAGAATCTGAAGCGTCTCTGACGGGTCGGTTCTGAATCTCAGGTCCGTTCATCAGAACTCTGGTTCTTCCTGGTTCTGGGTCTTTACCTGAGGAAATGCTTCAGCCTGATGGCGCCGTCTGGGTCCAGAACTGATCAGAACCAAACCGCCCTGCAGGAGAACAAAGCAGCAAAATGCGGCGCTGCCCGGCAGAACCAGAGTCCAACAGAACCCAGAGAGCCGGACCTCAATCAGCTGCTGGTTCGACCCGTTTACAGACAGACTGTCAGTTCTGAACGGTTCTGTTAAACCAGGTTCTGTTTAACGGGTCTGATCTCCACTGAGGACAGAAGGTTCTTAAGAACAAAGGTAAAACAGAACAACCAGAACCACCATCAGACTCCAAACGGGTCAGGAACTTCCCAACAGTCAGAACCTGTCGGAACACGAGCCGGACTCGGCTGCCAGTTCCTTTCACGGCACTGACCCAACAACCCAGAAGGCTCAGAACCTGAGCGGTTCTGAGTCGCAGCAGCTGCTTTTAAATGGCAGCAGGCGTTCAGCAGGTCTGGGCCGACCCGATTCCAGCAGAACCGGCCGGGTCCGGCAGCCCTGAGGTAGAACTTTACTCTCATGTGAAGCTGAACAGATAAAATCTGAGTAAATGTTTTATTTCTGGTCACAGAATCTTCAGAACCAGAACCACAGATCTGCGTCCTGAGAACAGAATCGGTCCGGTTCTGGTTCTAGGAAACCACCAAAGCTGTTAAAATGGGTTTGAAAACATCTTTATGGAAGAGAAAAACGTCGGAGTAACTGAGGCTCAGCACTCAGGGCGGCATCATGTCTGGGGTCATGTGTCGGATTCAACAGTTTTAGTTGTATGTTTATTCGTGTTACTTAGGGCGCCCCCTGTTTGTTACACACAGAATTGGCAGCTAGTTTCCATGGCAACTGTCTGCCTCTGTGCTAAATTTGAAGGGATACTTCTCATTTTGGAGAAACTGTCAAAACATGGAGACATTTTGGATCATCAGAACCATCAGAACATGTCAACCAGAACTTTTAACTTTTACCCAGTTCTGAGTGTAACAGACAGGGGGCGCCCTGACTCACCAATAAACACTTCAAAACATTTGAGCTGCAACTGAAATTTTTACCAGTTTTCATAACACGTTTTTATAACGACACTACAGATTTTTAAAATAATTTTTAAAACAGATATATTAATTAGCATCAGAGCTAACTAGTTACATGACTTTTTGCTGTAAACACCAGGAGGGGCTCTGGGCTCTGGGCCCCAGCCATGCCAGAACCGCCTCTGGTAACTGGCGTTTGGACCTAGAACACGTGGTGCTGTGCGCAGTTGGTGGCCCAGTCAAAGCCCACTCACCTCTCTGGCGATCAGGTTGAGGGCATCGTCCTCCGCGGTGGACCTCTCCTTGTTGGTAGATCGCTTTCGTCCCGTCCCCTGGGTCCCCATGTCTCCGTCTCGGTGTTTGTCTTCTGCAGCTCGGTTCGATTCGGGTCGCTACTAATCCGAACCGGGTCGGCCAGAGCAGCTGGAGCCTCTCATGTGTCTCTAAAATGTCAAGTCAGAGGAACCGAAGAGACGAATCGCGGCGGCTCGGCTCATTGTCACACATCCGTTCTTTCAGTCGCTCCTTCCTGTGTTTCCGAACCGCAGCGAAGTTCTGCTCAGTCCGAAACGCTGCGACCCAAAGCTGCGCTCACACCGACCTCACGGTCCAGTCCAACCGGTCCGGTCCGGTCTCTGACTGAAATAAAAGCAGAACCAGAACTTTTCCAGAGAGCTGAACTGACTCTCATCAGTCTGGAAACGTGACGCAGCCGCAGCGGAAGACTCGAACCTGCCGCACTAAAAACTTCACCGCGCGGTGCCTTCACGGACCGTCGGAATATTCAGTAAACCACAGTAACGCCGCTAAAACTCACCAACTGGCGGTCTGGAGACAAGAGACTGTCACTGTTACGTCACTATGTGACGTAATAATAATAATAATAATAATAATAATAAAAACATTATTTAAAAATTGACAGCTTCTGTTCGTTGGCTGTGCAATAATAACACTTTCTAGTCGTAATTTATAATAATTTTAATAGTAATGTTAATCTGCATTATTATTATTTCATTACATAGTTTCATATAATAATATATGTTTGTCGTTATATTAATATTATCTTGACATATAAAAATAAGACATCAAACTTTCACATTCCCTTTAAAAGCAGTTGAAATAAACCCACTTTTTAATATTCTGTTTTCTGACCCACAGCAGAAAACTGTGGGTCAGTTTTCTGCGAAGATGAAAACTCCTATTGGTTCTGGTTCTGCGGGGTTCTTCCTAAATGGAGTCCTTCTTTTCATGTTGCTGAGGAGGAAATATTTATGCAAAGTCCGATCATCACAGGAAGAATTTCAATACTTTAGTATATGTATTAAAAAGAATAAAGCAACACTGCGTTAATATTTATTCATATCAGTAAGTGATCCGAACCTGGGTCCAAATGAAGTAGATTAATCTTCATAATATTCCAGTTTGTCTCTGTGTTCAGAATAAAAGATTTAAAACCACCCGCCTCTAGCGAGCAACTGAGTGTTGGATTATCCGAGCCTCACCTGAACGCAGCATCAACTGCTGGACTCCAGAAGCGTTCAGGGATTCAGTTTCAGTGGGAAAGCTCAGCCCCCTTCAGACCTCTGAGCTATTTTTAATGATGACCACTGAGCTCTAAAACAGGCCGCAGCTTCTTAAAGAGAAACACGGCCGGTTCGGCCACACGGTTCGGAACTGGAACCACGTGGACCTGTCACTTTATGATGAGGTTTTATGGATATTTAGAGACATACGTTTAATTCAGCTCCTTTCTAAAGAATCGTTAAAGAGAAAATAAACTCAAAATCCACTTTTAGATGATGATTAATCATCTACATTTACCACTAGAGACTTCTTAAAAAAACCTAAATTGCTTTTTTGTAGAAAAATAAATGGTCTCCAGTGACATTTTTTGAAAAAGCAAACAAATGTTTTTGCTAGCCGCTTTAATGAAAAAAGTCACCACATTTGTCTCTAATTGCTTTATTTAAAGAAGTTGTTTAATTGTCCCTAGTCCTTGGAAAAAAAAATTGCTAGTTGATTTTTTGAAAAAAGTTTGGAGTTTCTGAACAGTTGCTAAATATAGCAACAAAGCTAAGTTAGCAGTAATGCTTCTTTGGTTCTGACCACAGCCTCACTTAGCATCACTCATCCCCACGTTTGGCAACGCCCCTCAGTGTCTCTAGGCTCCGCACCTCGGTCTCTTAGGCTCCTGCCCTGTGTCTATAGGCTCCGCCCATCGGTATCTCTAGGCTCCGCCCCTCCGTGTATATAGGCTCCGCCCCTCACTGTCTATAGGCTCCTGCCCTCAGTGTCTATAGGCTCCGCCCCACTGTGTTTATAGGCTCCGCCCCTCACTGTCTCTAGGCTCCGCCCCTCCGTGTCTATAGGCTCCGCCCCTCACTGTCTATAGGCTCCTGCCCTCAGTGTCTATAGGCTCCGCCCCACGGTGTCTATAGGCTCCGCCCCTCGGTCTCTCTAGGCTCCGCCCCGCAGTGTCTCCTCCCCGTTTGGTGAAACTCGCCAGGGGGCGGGGCTAAGCTTTCACTAGGGGCTAGTTACACTTAAAAGTTTTCATTTCACTAAGAGGAAAGAAAATACCCACCAGAATCAGAACCAGAGCCGGAACCAGTAATGAGCAGCAGTCTGCCTCTCTGAGCGGTCAGGAAGGAGAAACAGACGAACTGAGCCAGGAGAACGTTCTATAGCTAACAAACTGCAAAAGCACAAAATCTCACCAAGTGTTTTTGTTTAGTTTCAGGTACAAATATCTGAGTGAACTTGAAATAAGACAAAACTAATTTATAAATAACTTTTCAGGGAGATTGTTTTCAGTCAAAAATTCCTTAGTAATTAAAAAAACAAAGTCTTGATTCCACTGGCAGTTTTTCACTTAAAACATTTGAAACATTTTGTTAGAAGTGAAAAAAATTCACCAGAGGAACTTGTACTGTTTTTAAATAAATGTTAAGGAGTTTCTTCCTGATTCCTGATTCTTACTTCAGCCCTGGGTTTCTAAACATGAGGAATGCTGCCCCCTGGTGTTCACACGGTGTAACAGCATGGAGGAACCAAAGTGATGGAGCTTCAGGACGCAGCTTCACTGTCTGCCTGCTAAAACTGAAGCTAAGGAGAATCTCCATGAAACCAGTCTGGTCAGAGCGAGCAGGGCAGCGATTGGTCACAAAGGATTCAATGAACCAGATGATGAACTGACTGCTGACTGATCCAGAGAGAAACTAACCACTCAGAAGGATTTACCAGAAAACCATCAACTGATCATTTTAACCATTTTAATTGGTTCCTCATTAAACCCAGAATAACCGATCTGATGAATTGTCACCTGAATCTCTCCAGTGTACAGTCTGCACAGTCCTGCAGGTCGACCTCCCTCAGGCTGCAGGACTGGGAGCTCAGAACTGGAGACAGAACTTCACCAGTTCTCCCTGACAGGTTACAGCAGTGGTCCCCAAACTTTTTCCTGTGAGGGCCACATAACTTTTCCCTTCTCTGGTGGAGGCCGGAGTCAGTTTGTAACAGAAAAAGTGTAACGTTTGCAGGAGTGCCTAAATGTAAAAATATATTGTTTTCTAGAAAGCACAATCAAATAACATTCTCTGGGTTCTTCACAGAAAAAAATCCAGTAAGGATTATAGTCCGTATTTTCCGAACTATGAGCCGCACCGGACTATAAACCACAACCCCAATTTTTTATTTTTATTTTTTTTTTTTAAGTAAACCAGTAAACATTCACATATAAGCCGCAGATATCTCTGCCGCTCCAGGTTTTCCACAGCGATGCAGCAGAGGGGCGGACAGCCAACATTTGAGTCATAACAGGTCAATTGAATATCACATTTATTACGGTTGAAAAAGAAATGTTGCCAAGTTTAGATTTAACTGAACTGATTACGGTAGTTTCCGAACGGAAACTGTGACAGTAAAAGTGCTGATCCTTCCTGTTGCTACTAGCATGTGCTAAACCAGTGGTCCCCAACCTTTTTATTACCGCGAACCAGTCAAGACTTGGAAATTTTGTTGCGGCCCGGGGGTGAGGGGGGATGAACAGACAGATGAGGCTTCTGCATATTGGTGTTGCCACTAAATCCTGAACATACCCAGTTTGGGTTGTCTTGGCGCTTTTATCGCAGCCTGTGGGGTTTTCCCTGACTGGGAACGAGAATACAACCTGCTGAATGTGACGGGGAGCCAATCAGAAAGCGCGGTGACGTAAGAACAGAGGGGAATCCCAAACAGCTGACATATAGTGCAGCTGAGAGTCTGGTGGATATCAGAGATGATATCTGGAAATGTTTATTAGTAAAGGTCAATATTTATTCAGTTAAAAATGTTAACTATGAAAAAATACGAATCGGTTCGTGTTGCTCCTGCCTTAGACACACGAACCGATCGAACCTGTTGGACTTTTATCAGCTCTGTGGTCACAGAGGTTTGGAGAATCGGCCGACATCCTTAAATCTTGCCGTCTAAACCAGACTTAAGACTCACAAGCTCTACTCATCTCCTCTCGACCACTGCCCAAACGCTCTATACTCTGGTCGCTATGGTAACGTTTACATATCCCTTCAAAATAAGATACAGATGTGCCACAAAAACGAGCATTTTACTTTCGTGAAAATTTTAACTCACGATAATGACTAACGGGAGCCCTGAGCTTGTTTCTCTGCAACGAGACATCAGAGAGTGATGGGAGACAATGACACCCGAGCTGTGTTGCTTGAGCACAGCCTGCTCGGTCTCTATGTGGCAATCTTGGTCGCCGCATGTTACACAGAGCGGCTTAATGTGGGACTCACCTACCGGTCCGGGATAAATCCATCCTCCTGTCTCTTCTCTGGGCCTTTTCCCCTTTGCAAAGAAACTTTCTAAAGACATCTGATCTGTTTCTTACTCATTTTGCTGCTTGTGGGCTCAGTGTTGGCGCGCAAGTAACCGAGACTTCCAACGATTCACTTCCTGCTAAAGAGCCCCCTGGCGGTTGAAGAAAAATTCACATATAAATGGCTTATAGTCCGGAAAATACGGTAAATGAAAATAAAAAATAAAAATCTGAATGCTTTCTGGTATTGTTCAGGGGGCCGGACCAAATGTGGAGGCGGGCCGGATCCGGCCCGCGAGCCGTAGTTTGGGGACCCCTGCTTTATAGGAAAACTTTATGTCATGACTGACACAGACATGTCAATTTTTATATCTTGGTAAAATCACAATAGTGGCCAAAAAAGAAGAGCAGTTAAAATATTTCTGACAGAAGGAAGAAAACCAGGAAGTCAGACCTGAACCAGCCTCATAGACAGATGTGCAATATGGCAAAAAAAATTCATATCCTGGCATCTATTGTGATGGCAACAATATACATCATGATCTATTCTTGGCAACAAAAAAAAACTTATAAAAAAAATAAAAATTGTCTAAACATAATGAAACATTTTGGTCTAAATCATGACTGAATACTTTTATTGCTGCCTCCAGTCT